GAAACCGTGAATGTGTGCAGACAGCAATCCAAATATTGCGGCTGAGAACCTTTTGTGAAGTCAATCTTTTTGTTGCTTTGAAAACGTGTGTAAAATAAAAAAGACCGAACACAAGTGTTTTCGATACCATTTGTAACACTTTTTTCGATGTAAATGCAATCATTCATTGAAATTTGTCTTTGTATCTTTTTTCTCGTGTAAATAATAAAGAAGCTGTGTAAAGAGTGCCGATTTTTCAAATTTAAAACTCTGTATTTTGCGCATTCCTGGTCTAGTATTCGGTGGTGACTTGTTTCAGACATTTGAGCTCAAAGTGATTTATTGTACACAAAAAGAAAATCAACAAACATTTGTTCGCAATATTTCTTAATTATAATCTATCCGAGTATAATTAGTGTTAATTTTTAATATAAACTGTTATCACGTCGTCGAAACAGCTAGACAGAGAGAGCGCATTTCGTGATTTGGTCGTGCGCAAATTACTTCAAAAAGTTTTCGTTTGATTGTAATGATTGTTTTTATCTAAAACGCTTGGCCTCAAATCGGTTTGAAGTTAATCTAAACGCGGCAATACAGTACATAGGTCTCAGTGGTGTCGGTGGTGTTCTCAATCGTTTGCGTGCCAAGTGATAAACAGCGATAAGCGCCAGATAATCAGTGTGCGTTTGCGTCATGAAAAACAGTTTTGATCAATTTTTTGCTATTGAATACGAAAACAGACACAGAGAAAAAACGGAAAGAACGACACGATGAATCAAATGGAATCGACTGAACCAACGACGATGATCAAACAACGAAGCAACTACAACGTCATCAAATCGCTTAAAGAATACAATCGATCACAAACAAACAAAATTGCTCGCATTGAACACGATACAGCATTGGATCATGACGTCGATGGTGCGTCACTTGAAAGCGATTTGCCGCAACTGTCCGAACCAAGTGGCATTGTAAAAACGGTTAGTGTGTAAACGCACAGTGTGCTTGATTTTATATTTTATTTCCGAAAAAAACAAAATACAAAAACAAACTTGTATTTGCATGTTGTAGTTGAAAAAATTCCCAATTTATTACGAATGGGTGCAAACACTGATCGATTACAATGACGAACTCGTCGAAATTATTGACAACATACATTCAAAGTCGACGATGACAAAGGCTACTGCTACGAAGAGTACGAGTTTGATTGATTTTAATGTCAGTGAATGTAAAAATGTTCAATCGACCACATCGAACAATCTCTTATCCGCTGCACCCAATACCATGAACTACGAACAAATTTTAAATCAAAACGTACGGTTAGACCCACAAAAAATATATTATTTATTAAACATACATTAAAATTTACGAAAATAAATCTGTTTGTAGCAAAAATTACACGATCAGAATGACGACCTAAAGCGTAAAATCAAGAATTTGGAACGACAAAATAAAGGACTTGAAGAGGTAAAAATGAGCAAATTATATTGTGAATAATTTTTTTATGAAACAGTAAATTATATTAAGAGTTTTCTATATTTTAGGCAGCGATTGAAGCTCGTGTACTCGTTTTTGAAGTGGCCGAACGACATGATATGATTATAAAATTGAAAAATGAAATTAACGATATGGAACAACAGCTCAAGCAGAAAGATACTCATATCCAATTTAAAGATCAAATTATCAAAGAATTGCGACAACAACGACGAACAAATGTTTCACGGGTGCGTCCATTCATTTCTTTTCGAAAAGTTTATTGAACTGTATTGAGTGGAATACTAGTATAGTTCGAATTCTTTTGTTTATAACTTCACCTTGTGAATTTCGAGAGTACATGTTAACAATTGATTATTTTTAGTGTGCGCACAATTTGGGCAAAACAAAACTTGATTCGATTGACAAAGTGGTCGATTTAATTCGAACCGTTAGAGATATAAGTCCAGAGTCATCATCGAAGATTTGTGATTGTAATAATGATTCTTACCAAGAAAAAGAAAACCAAACCGACGATGAATTGTGTCAATTGTTCGATATCGGTCACGAATATGCTAGAAAAATTGAATCACAACAAACGGAAATTGATATATTAAATGCGGAAATCAATAAACGGGTGAGTGTGCACACAATTTTAGCAGGTTTTGTTTATTTTCTCACGAAAATACACACGACAAGTTTGAATGAAAATTTAAATGACATTTTACGTTGAAAGCATTGAGAAATGTGTTTTAAAGTTTCAAGATGTTCAAATGATCATTTAAAAGTGTTTTAAATTCAATGGATTGTCTCATTTAAGCAAGTGAACTACGACAAAATCTCCAAGGCGTATGCGGCTCTGCAACAGCAGCTGGAATCGGTTAAAGCAATAAGTGCCAACTCAAACAACGTCGCTGATTTTCAGGTATTATTCATAATCGTCGGATAATAATTGAAATTAATTGTGAAGCTCATCTTAATGTACCAATTAATGTGTGTTTGTGTTCAAAGTGATATGTGACTTTAAATGATAACCAATTTGCTAAAAACATTCTAATTGCGCATTAGCTCTTTATATGTTTATTTTACAAATTTGTTTGGATATGAGATAAAAGAGAAGCCATCCATGATTTTGATGTAATTAAGTGTAATAAATCAATCAAGTTGCCATCTGGTGTTTCGGTTGATTTCCATGTACGAAATTGGTGCAATAGTAAATTGAAATTCCACAAAATGTTCTCAAAATTAGAGCAAGAGGTGAATGTGTGCATAAAAATAGATGGATTTAAAGTAAAAAAATGACTGGCTTTCGTCGACTTCACTACAGCGTGCTTTTTGTGCAGTGAGCCACTCAATGAATGTGCTTCCTTTACATGCTCACATTTCATTTTTTTTCTCTCATTTCGGAATGCAGTTTAGTGTGTCATTTCGAAGTATATTTTCATTTCTAAATGTGCTTGTTTTGTCTTCTGTCAGTAAATTATAGTGTTTTACGTTGCACTCTTATGTGAATTTTATTCATAACAAACGTCAATTTACTATGAATAAATGAGCAGAAAACAAACAACATAAGTTCATCTAAAAATGTTCCACTTTTATGCGTCTATATTCATATTTGAGGTTTTTGAGCGATGCGCCGTTACCAAGCGTCGACACCACACTGTGTGAAATGGAGTAAAAATATTGCTGTTTGTTTTTCTGTTGGTTGCACATTTTGAATATGAATACCTCCAAAAATAAATACTCACCGCGATGAAATGAGAAATTTCTTGATGGCAAAACCAATTCAAATTTGCTATCGTAAATTTCATTCGTAATCATTATATGATGAACAGAGCTCATATTTCTACACTAAAAACACATGCAAAATGTCGATCGAGTTGTGAGTGTTTTAATGGCCAAATATACTCGGTTCATGTTTATCGATCACGTAATTTGGAAATAAAAAAGTAATGAAAGAAAGCAGGAAAATAGCAATTGATTGAGTCATCGCAATGGATACATGAACGATAGTCGAAGTATTGCACAGCAAATGATTGAGCATCTCAAAATGTCAGAAAAAAAACGTTTTTATTTCAGAAAACACTCCGCTCCGAACGATTGAAATCCATATTAAAAAGAACACTCAAATCGACTAAAAATATACATGCATTTTCCCATTCGAACCAGAAATGCGACTAAATGCGGTTAGTTTATATTTGGATTGTGACCGATTCGGATGCGTTTTTGCCTCGACCGGCACTAAAAATTTTCAGAACTTTTTCGCTTCGGTCGTAGCGTGCAACGTATTTGTTTTAAAAACCAAATTCAATTGTAACTACGATAGTGTGTAATTGTCAGAAGAAGTGTTTGATGTGTTTATACAAGCGGAAAACAATATCTTATGAAAGTAAACATACACTTAATTAGTAAATTAAGAGCAGAGCGAACTAAGAAGCGAAATAAAGAGAGAAACAAGCAATTTGTATAAATAGTAAAAGTGTAAATTAAACATGGGTTATAAACAGGTCGGAAAAACAGTTGGTTCAACGGTCGATAGTGCTACAGCCGAAGAATTTACAACGGCAATCGCCGATAAAACACATTTAGCAAATTTGATTACAACACTCAAATCGGAACTTTCATCAACAAATGCACTATTGAAAATTAAAGAAAAGGATTTTAACGATGCAAAGGAACAACTTAAACGAATGAAAGGAGACCACAGTGATGCTAACCAAAGGGTGGCCTTATTGGAAAAACAATGTGAAAATTATCGATTAACTGTGAGACAATGTGATTTGTGATCGTATTTTCAAATTTTACTGAGATAGAACATGTTTCTGTATGCTTTTAGATCAAGCAATTGGAAGAAAACCTCCAAACACATTCCGACACAATCAAGCGACTTGAAGAAAACCAAACATTTTTAAAATCTGTGAGTAAAATTTCACTTATTTTGTCGATTTTTTAATGTGATAAAAATTGATTAAAATACAATCATTTATTATTTATGAACGTTCTTTTAACACGCAGTTTTAAACTGTTTTCAAAATAAAAAAAAAGCTTGAAATTCAAGTTGAAAATAAACTCACTACGATCTGCGTGTTTGAAATCGTATTAATCAAAATCAAATCATTTTTCGCTCACAGCAAATGGCTGAATCTCAGGAAAAACAGCAAAATTATCAAAAATTGATGGACGAAAATCGAAAACTAGAATCAAATGTATGTTAAACTGTTCGCTCGTACCTCATAATTCTGAATTTCTATAATCTCACTTTTGTACTGTTTCTTGAATTGCATGCTGTATACTTAATAATAATCCAGTTCTGTTTGAATTTTCACGTGTTTGTTACTTATTTTCATATTGGTATTTTATTCTATTCCAACAAATGCACTTACTTAATAAAAAACAAATTGCTCACAGCATAAGCACCAACTAACGACGATTGCATTTTTGCGCACGGCATTGGAAGATCACCTGAAGACCGAAACCAATAAGATATTTATGCGATCGACAAAAATTGGACGAAATAAAAACACCGCACAAACTAGTAGTAATGGTAGAGTGGTAAATAATGTTCAAAACACAACCGAATCAAACAATGCATCATCGTCGTCTCGCCCAACAACATCCAGTCTAAAATTGCCTTGGTTTAAATGATTATTTTAATGTGTGATTTTGCATTTTAGATAAAAATCGATTTTTTTCAAGCCTTTTTCTCTTGATTGTTATTTTAATAAAGTTTTCATAAAAAATTAAAAAAAACCTTTTTAAATACAGTCATAATTGTTGTTATTGTTGTTACCTGTGTGAAAAACTGCTAATAATTAATTTATGATTTAACCTCAGCTAATTTGGATAGTGTATACAAAATTGTGATTGTTCGCTGGAGATAAGTAGAAATATAATTGGTCAACAATTTTCAGGTAAATTTCTTAACAACGCACTCATCGTCGCCGCCCATTTCCAGTACATTTACATGCAGCAATAATGTCAGCAGTTCAAATTCGAATTGCTCGTGTCACCACTATCACCACCGGGATCGAGAAAACTCGGCCGATATTCTTGGCGAAAACCTACAAACATCATTTCAAGAAGTAACGTCTTTCCTACATTTCGCATTTTTCTTTCGAAATGTTACTTTTTGTTTAAAATTTATTCGTATTTTTTTCATCTTCGTCGACCCAATGGTTTTTCAATAAATTCGTTTGACTCCATTAACGCAATAGAATATGAAACTGAATAAGGTGATAATGCTGCTTCGTGACGAAAACATCGATTTGCGTGAGCGAATTATTGATGTCGAAACCGATTATGTCACACTCGATGATTCGTACCGTCACTTTATAACGGTATGCATAAAATTGATATATCCAAGTTGTAATTAGTTAGCAAATGAAAGAAATTGTACATTCGAAGGGGAACCAAGAATACTATACGGAATTATCGATAAGTCGTGAATGGACGATTGATTCACACATTTATTGGTGTCACAGTGAATTGTCGTAGTAGTATTTTATGCTAAGTGCATAAAAACAGTTAAGTTCCACTATTCTTCATCAGCACACATAAATTTACCATCAAAATAGAACGACAATATTTGATTTTTTTTCGTTCTTTTTACGATATGATTCAAACAGCGATTGCAATGTGTGAATGACACTACATAGTTCACGAATGGTGAATATCGGAATAAAATGTTTGTTTTTATTATGATTTGGCACGTCAATAAAATGCCGTTGCCATTGTGCAAGAATGAAGCGCCCGCAAATCAATCAGGGTTTATCGGTCGATTTTGTTGCATGCGAATGCGTCTCTATAACAATTGTTTGGTTGCTCGGCAGTCGATTGAACATTTAATAAATTTTATTTCTAATATTTCATTTTGCCAATTCAAAAATTGACCTGATTTCAGCTGAACGAACAAAAAAGAGGCACGAATTTTTTATTTTAGTATCGACCTTTTTGAATATGAGTCTCATGGTTGAAAAATATGCAAGTTTGCGGGTAATTGAATTCTTTCTAATCAAAGTTTCAATTGATATAATGGAAAAATTGACAGCAAAACCAAAATCCAGGCCAGATGGCACGCAAACTGAACAGAAACACGAAAAAAAAAAACGCTGAACAGAAGACATACTTTCACGACAGAAATGAACCCATTTGCCAATATGGTGCGTGCAGTATTGTGCGCGTATATTTGACTTCATATATTTTGCAATCATTCATTTCAATCACGCCGCACCATTTATTGCACATAATTGGCTCTACTTTCTATGTGCAGCGTCTGGATGAGTCAATAAAATTCATATTTATATTTTTATAAAAGAGCCGAGAAAAGAAAAACAACAAAAACGATGACGACGAATGGATTCGATGAATATTACAAAATGGAATTGCATTTCGAAAGGGTTTTGTTTGTTTTTTTCTTTTTTTCGTTTTGTGCTTTGTTGTTGCCACTGTTGCCGCCGCATGTCTTCCGATTCGAAAATTGCTATCAGTTGATTTGATCGAAAATGAAAACAAACTCGATTTGCTTATACGCGCGTGGCAAGAAATAGTG